TAATATCAAAGGGAACTTTTACTTATTTCATTAAAATTCAGACCAAATAGGAAAAGCACTCATGTAAATAACAATATCCCTAGCTTATTGTGAGTAGTGTATATATATAAACTCCTGATCAAAATCGTAAGACCAGTTTAAAAAATTGCATGAATTTGCATTTTATATTATTATTTTATATGCAGTCGTCCTCAAATTTATCCATACATTTACATTAAAGAAAAGTTACAGAAAACACTTGATTGCAGTGATTGCCTCACAGGGTTGTTCAACAACATATTAGTTTACAGGTCCCATCATGCTTGTTTGCTTGTTTTTTGTTTTTTTTCCTTTTATTTTTTCTGCTGAACCACAATTCAAAAACAATGTCATGATTTTCATTAAATTAGTGTTTATTATTACTTTGGTCAATTTCAACTTATTACAGTGACAGTTGCTTTTTTTCCCATCTTTAATGGGAGGGTATGGATAAATTTGAGGACGACTGTACACTTACAGGAACTTTATGGGGCACCATTACCACAATCGTTTCAAAATTTTGCACTTTTTTTCTACTTTCAATGGCCAATAATTATTAACTGTTGTTGACTTAGAAAATTTTCAGTCATTCTGAACAATCTTTGTCATGTTTTGACTCATTGTGGACAAGATTCAAGTGAAAATCGCAAGAAAATATTGCACTATGTCTTGTCAATCTTGTCACACATCAAATTCTACTGCTAGAGGCCACAAAAGTAGTTGAAAGGTCAACCAAAGAGTGCAGTTTGGTAGGAGATATGGATACATCCATCTATATATAGACTAATACAACATTCAGATAATGCACTTTTTCCCTGTTTTCAAGAGTCAATATTTCAAAATTTGCCTCTGCTGAAGCCATTCAGTCATTTGGACCTGCTGGAAACTGTTCTGTTTGTGTCCTCACCAAATTTCATGGCTGTAGGAGTTATATTTTTGGCGATATTGAACACTGAAAATGCTTTCCCAGCTAAGCTGTTTTTCCCAACCAAAATATTCATCAGAATTTAGTTTTGGGTCGTAAAACAAAATAAATCTGAGATGGTGCAGCAACATGTTTCCTGAATTTCGTCTGTTTCACTTCTTCACTTGCAGTTTTGGAGAGAATGTCATGCAAGGAAAAAAGACAAATGCAGGCAGATAATCTCCTTCTTTTTTTTTTGTACACTCACAGCAGAACTTTCACTTTCATACCTGTTCCCAGTGAAACCTTTAGCACACTTGCACTGCCCAGTTTCAGGGTCACATTTCCCCCGGTTGTGGCACACGCACTCTTCGGCACAGTTGGGCCCGAACCTTCCCTCCGGGCATCGCTCCGTGCAGACTGCACCCTGCAGAACATCATGGGAAAGTCATTAGAGGCAGAAAAATAGAAGTAGAATTGCAAAAACTGGAAGGAGATGCCGCCAATTTCTGCAGTCGCTCAGAAAATAATTTGCTCCTAGTCTCCAGAGACGACAGGCTGCCTTCACAAAAAGGAGATGTGGAGCCAGCTTTAAGGCAAACAGCCTCCACGGAAACAGAAAAAGCTTCGACTTGAAAACTTACCGTCCAGCCGGGGGGGCAGGCGCAGACCCCTTTGCCCCGACAGATGCCACCATTCTGGCAGGGGCATCTCGCCTGGCATCTCTTTGAACAGGCCTTCTCACAGCTGGAGGAAAGAACAGAGGAGATGGCTTAATGGCCACTTACTGAAATTGCTCAAAAACACTCACTGTGTCCCGGGACATTCCTGAGGAATTAGGTAAATATTTTGTGCACAAAAGAAAAGTGTTTTTTTTTTTTTTTTTAAATAAATTCAGTTACTCAAGTTGCAGGAAAAAAATCTTGAGGTATTGAGGACAACTGAAACGGATATCATGCTGTCTGAAAGAAGCAGAAAACCAACAGTAGCTCTCTCAGCATCACAAGACTGGGCTTTGTGGGAATCATTAGCACAGTTGGATTGTGTCTTTGACCAATCACATCAGGGATGACTCGGTCTGAACCACCTGCCCCACATTCAGCGCAGAAATATTAGATTTTCTAATGCACCCTGGAGGTGAAATAACATGAACAAGCTACAAATACACACAATTAATCATGGAGATTTATCCCATAACCACTGATGCCAAGTCCTGCTTTCTTTTATGTAGCTCAGTGTGGAGTGTTGTGCTTTCACACTGGCAGTTTGACACTTTCCACTGATGTGGGGAAGAGTTTTCATTGCTTACTCATCCTGAGGGGCAACTAAAAAACAGGGTGTAACAGATGAGTCACGGCGAGCATCATTGGAGTGTCTTTACCGACCCAAAATTAAGTCATGGAAACAAATAAGAGTTGGCCAAGAAAGAGCTGCTGTGAAAACTCAGATAATGACGTGTAATGAAGTGCGGTATCAGATGTCCCCCAGAAGAAATAATTAACTACATACATGATTCTAAAAATGTGTTATACCAAAAAAGGAAGCACATTATGTCAGTTTTTGGCCATGAAAGTGACTACAGGAAAGTTAATGTCAGTCTGTGGGTCCACCACTTAACCTTTTTAAGCTATGGGATATTTTTTAAAATTCACAACTGCCTAAAATTCAGTGGTTGCCCAGAACCTCAGGTCCTGCTCATAAGAGACGCTATGCAGAATTGTGGAAAAGCTTTTCCAAATATACATATCTTTTCTAAAGCGTTTTTTTTTTTTTAGCCTTTAATCAAAATGTACTCTTAGGTCACTAATAACTTTTGGAGAACTCGACAAAATAAAACTGGAGGGATAAGTTTGCTAACAGGACATTTTTTTTAACATGTACAACTGATTAAGGAGTTGCTGTAATTATGCACCATAACTGATAACATTAACACTGAAAATCTATCATCACTATGTTTAACCCTTAAATTATAACAAATGTTTTTCCCCGGTATCGTTACATCATAACTGTCATGATGTCAGTGGTTTTTTGGCTGCAGTCTATCGTCTTTTGCTTCTCTCCTGCTCTCTGTGCTCATATACGCTGCATTTTCAAACAGATGGAATTCGGAGAATTTGGCAATATCTTCCAAAAATTCTAAGCTACTATCAAAATTAGAGAACAATTTAACAATAAGGAGAGAAAAAAGGGGTTTTATATGCATTGTGCCATGTTTTACTTTAATATACAGACTGATAATAGAAACTTGTATTTCTTCTGGAAGTTGCATTACTGCCTTACTGTTAGTTTCCACTATAATTCTATAGTTTTCCATTCTGTACTGTGCTGCCTTATACTGTGACATCATTTGTCAGAGTAAAATCTACTTTTTTTTTTCTTGCTTTTTTTAGAGGAAAAATGTATAGTTTGGATTATTCAACTAATCTATAAAATACTCAATAGATTAATTGATAGAAAAATAGTCAAGTGGCAGCTCAACAGTCCACACAATCCTCAATGCTTTATTTTTTGCTAGCCAAGTGGAACCAGAAATTGCTTTTTCCGACCAGTTTAGCTGGCCGTTGGTTTCATTCTTGACAGCTGTTAATTTGTATTTTTGTTTGGATGAAAAACAAATATGAAAAAACTAATATTTATGAAAAATTCACATGTTTATTTGTGCTAAATCAAAACTGTAAATTTGAGGGTAAACAACAGCTTTAAAACTGGTAAACTGTGATGCTCAGGAGTCTGATCTACAAGTTCAGCTGCAATTTTTCCAAATATGATGCAGCAGAAATGAAATGCTTCAATCTTAGCTACAGTGGTATGAAACAACCTTTGAATAATGATGGTGATCTGCATTACAATAACAGATACGGGCTGATGATGATACAGGGAAAAGGATAAATATCTAAACTGGTATTAGACTAATATGGTCTCCACATCTTTTTGTTGTTGTTCTTGTCTTCCTTCTTCCTTTTCATTCTTCTTTCATTCTTCTTCTCATTCTTCTCTCTTCTTCTTCTTTCATTCTTCTTCCTTCTTCCTCTTTCTTTCTTATTGTCTCTTTCTTCTCCTTCCTCCTTTTTTCTCCCTCTTTTTCTTTCTCCCTTTTTCCTCTTTCTCCTCCTTCTTCCTTCTCATTCTTCTAGTGTTTCCCTTTGTCTCCTCAACTATGCCTCACATCTGAACATCACTTCCTAACACCATTTCCTAATTACTGCCTTCTTGCACCAGAAGACTTCTGCTCAACTATTGCTCCTCATGCTGTATATTTTCTTGCATCGAAGCGTCTAAATACATCTCCACACATATCTAAGCTAATTCGTAACATCATCCGAGTGTTTTGAGTGTCTTTTCTTCCCACACGGTGTGCGGTATGTGCAGATGAATAACTGTTAATCTGAGGGGTCAAGAGGAACTTGACTGTATTTTACCAGCAGATTCCTTCCACAGACCAGAGCTGGTGCTTGTTTGTTTCACCGCATATTCCTGAATTTTTTTCTAGCGTCACCATCACATCAGCAGTTATAGTCGAGTGAAATGTGTGGTGATTTGTGTAGTATTTTGTTCAGATGTTCACATGTGAGTTGTGAAAATATTTGGTGATGGTCTGATTTTTTTCTCCATTAGGTGGCTGGTTTATGACTAAATATCTGCAAAACATACATGAATATTCCCCTCAGTCTCAGCTGTGCTTTTTATTATCAGTTTTTTCAATTTAGGACAAGGGTGACAAATATTGATTATTTCCTTTGCCAATTAGTCTGTTAATTGTTTTTCTTCATTGATTGATTAGTTGTTGGGTCTATAAAAAGTCAGAAAATTATGAAATAAGGCCACAAGGGTTTCCCAAAGCCCAAGATGACAAAGATATTCAGTTCACTGTCATAGAGGAAGGAGTAAACCAGAAAATATCCACATGTAAGAAGCTGCTTCAGAGAATTTAGGTGTTTTTGGGTTTTTTTTGTCTTTAACATTGATTTTAACCAGTTACTTTGATTATCCAAAGAGTTAGCAATGAAATAGTTGACAACTAATCGATTCATTGTTCCAGCTCCAGTTAACATGTTGATTTAACTCCAAGCACTTCTGTACAAACTCACAGAGCTGCTAGATGACTGTAAACTCTGTAGAATGCTTCTTCCAGGATCCATTTGTGGCTTTAAAGCAAAAAAACAGTTCCTTGAAGCACAAATAACTTATTCTGAAGAGTTCTCCTCTGTTTACAAAGTCAGTACTTGGATATGTTATCGTGCAGGAAGTTCCCACTTATATTTTTCCAATCTTGTGCACTTACAAAGTCCCAGTGAATCCATCCCGGCACAAACACTCTCCTGTTGCCTTATCGCAGGATCCTCCGGTGCCACACTTGCACCTCTGCAGGCAGCTCTTCCCAAAGTTTCCTGCTGGACAGGCGTCTTCGCAGTAGCGTCCTATGAAGCCCGGAGAACACTGACATGCTCCCTTCGCTGGGTCGCACAGAGCTCTGTTCTGACACTTGCACTGCTGGCTGCAGCCGGGACCCCAGTGGTTGTCGTCACAGGCTGAAAGGTAACAGGACAAAACTGTCTCAGGATGGATTTAGACTTAATGTTTTTGTTTAACCTCCATATTTTAAATACACTATATTGCCAAAAGTATTCACTCAACCATCCAAATAATCGAAATCATGTGTTTCAATCACTTCCATGGCCACAGGTGTATAAAATCAAGCACCAAGGCATGCAGACTGTTTCTACACACATTTGTGAAATATTGGGTCGCTCTCAGGAGCTCAGGGAATTCCAGCATGGTACTGTGCAACAAGTCCAGTCATGAAATTTCCTCGCTCCTAAATATTCCACAGTCATCTGTCAGTAGTATTATAACAAAGTGGAAGTGATTGGGAATGACAGCAACTAAGCCACGAAGTGGTAGGTCACACAAACTGACAGAGTGGGGTCGGCGGATGCTGAGGCACATAGGGCGCAGAGGTCGCCAACTTTCTGCAGAATCAATCGCTACAGACCTCCAAACTTCATTTGACCTTCAGATTAGCTCAAGAACAGTGTGTAGAAAGCTTCATGGAATGGGTTTCCATGCTAGAGCAGCTACATCGAAGCCATCACCAAGTGCAATGCAAAGCGTCTGATGCAGTGTTGGGAAGCACACCGCCACTGGACTCTAGAGCGGTGGAGATGCATTCTCTGGAGTGATGAATCGCGCTTCTCCATCTGGAAATCTGATGGACGAGTCTGGGTTTGGCGGCTGCCAGGAGAACGATACTTGTCTGACTGCACTGTGCCAAGTGTAAAGTTTGGTGGAAAGGGGATTATGGTGTGGGGTTGTTTTTCAGGAGCTGGGCTTGGCCCCTTAGTTCCAGTGAAAGGTACTCTGAATGCTTCAGCATACCAAGACATTTTGGACAATTCCATGCTCCCAACTTCGTGGGAACAGTTTGGAGATGGCCCCTTCCTCTTCCAGGATGACTGTGTGCCAGTGCACAAACAAGGTCTATAAAGACATGGATGAGAGAGTTTGGTGTGGGAGAACTTGACTGGCCTGCACAGAGTCCTGACCTCAACTTGATAGAATACGTTTGCGATGAATTAGAGCAGAGACTGAGAGCCAGGCCTTTTCGTCTAACATCAGTGTGTGACCTCACAAATGTACTTCTGGAAAAATGGTCCAAAATTCCCATAAACACACTCCTAAACCTTGTGGATAGCCTTCCCAGAAGAGGTGAAGCTGTTATAGCGGCAAAGGGTGGACCAACGTCATATTAAACCCTATGGATTAAGAATGGGATGTCACTTCAGTTCATATGCGAGTCAAGGCAGGTGAGCAGATACTTTTGGCAATATAGTGTATGCAATGACTTAGTTTCCTGGTTTAACCTTCAGAAACCTTAAACCCAGCAGTGGGTTTAAAAGGCATTCCAGCCTGAAAAAAGATTGCCTAAATGACACCATTTATCTGAGCCCTAAACTGTAAAAACTCACACAAAGCTCACTTTTCAACCTTTAGACAGTATGTAGATTAATCATGTGTGGAGTCCAGTTTCTGCAGGAACAATTTCCAAATCGATGGTTAAAATCATGACATTTTATCTAAACAAAACCAAAAATGTTTGCACCAGATTCAGAAAAAAACTAATAATTTTGCATTCCTCAGTACAACAAAACCACATTCGTGACTCAACAACCAATGGTCACAAAAATTCAGGGACTTTCCAGCTGAACTGCAGGCAGTGTTTCCACAGAGCAAAGTGGAGAAAACCACAAACACAAATAAAAAATGTTAGTACTTAAATGTGGACACTTGGAAACATGCTCTGCATGTTGATTCTTTTTTTCTTTTTTTCTTTTTTTGTAAAACAAATCATTAACAAAAAGCTACATTTTTAATTGTCTTTTTTTATGATTCATGGCATTATAACTGTGTCCTACTGCAGTGAGTTCTCTCTACTTCCAGCCAATGTCCATCCATGCATTTTCTTCCACTTTATCCGGAGTTAGGTCGCGGAGGCAGCAGCCTTAGCAAAGTTGCCCAGACTTCCTGATCTGCAAACACCTCCTCCAGCTCTTCCGGGGGGACCCCAAGGCGTTCCCAGGCCAGTCGAGAGACATAATCCCTCCAGCGTGTCCTGGGTCTTCCTCGAGGCCTCCTTCCATTGGGACACGCCTTGAACACCTCCCCAGGGAGGCGTCCAGGAGGCATCCAAAAAAGATGCCCGAGCCACCTCAGCTGGCTCCTTTCGACGTGGACTCACCACCCGCAGAGGGAGTCATGGGGGTCAGGTGCAGAGAGGACTGGGTGGCGCGGGGGGCTGCCTCAACGGCCTGGTCCGCACACACAGCCTCCAACCAACGTGGTCGTGCTGTTTCCATTAACGTGCAGGAAAAATGTGACAGGAGCAAAAAACAACTAGAAACTGCTGTTTGGGGTTCAGAGTAAAGAAAAAAAGGACTAATTGTACTTACACACAGCCTAAGTTTACATTGGACATCTCACTTTTTAAAACTTATTTATCCAGAGAACATTTTCTTTCAGTGTCAGTTCTGCTCCTGCAGTCAAACAACTGCACACATTCACACTTGGCCTTATTGCCCACATTTTCCTACGATTTAAACCAGTCGCCTTCCAGTAATGTCCTGCTTCTCTAAACACTGAGTCAAACCAGCTTTGCAATGCTGGAAATGAAACAAAAACACCAAAGCAAAACAAGATCACACATGATTATTTTAACTCTCATGTGGCGCAAATATATTTTTTTTGCATTTTATGTTCCCTTAATTTGATTTTCTTCCCCACACAGCCTAGATTTTACTTACATCTATGATGTCATGCAAAACAAACAGAAACAGCGGTCAGAAGAAAAACAGAACAGAAACAACAGGAGGAAGAGTGTCTGGTGCCATCGTCCTCCTCGTCCAAATCGGCCCCTTTAGCTCGGGAGTGTTGGATTACCAACAAATAATTTTAAACTGGCGGGAAGATTTGCACGGCGCTCACAAGACGGACACGTTTTTAATGGTTAACATTACAGAAGCCTGATGACTGGCCCTGAGGGGTTGAAGCGTGCAGTTGAGATTTACACTTGGTTTGGATTTCAATTCACGATGAAGAGATCTTCCCCGAGAACCCAGATTGGTCATTGGTGCATTCTTCAGATTTCTCATCAATTACCGAGATGTCGTGCAGGAAACATAGCAGACGGACGGGCGTCACTTATCTTTTCTGCAGCTAAAAGTGATTTGAGTGATTTCATGCAGACCTGCATTGAATCATCCTTTGTTACTGTGCCATGTTCTCAGTGTCTGCTGCACACATGGCCCGCCACAGCTTTGAAAAACACAGAGAACCGCTTTGACAAGAGCAGAGCCAAATTTGGCCTCGAAGCAAGCAACGCTGCCAGTGTTTATTGCTCTAAGTCGGAGCAGGACCGACCCTCATTTTGTTTAACAGAATCATAACTTGACTTGTTCTCTGTGTGGGCATCAGAGAAGAGCTCGTTGAGTAATGAGAAACTCAGCTGAAGCAGCGGTTGTGTTTACACAGACATTCTCCAGGGCAGCACAGGAGGTTTACTGCAAGAACCTGCTCCTGATACAACCACACCGTCAGTGAACCACTTGGATGAGTAGACAAGCTGTCCAATGTAAAAACAGTCTATTTACTATGGATTTTTTTGTATTTTATAGTTTTCCCCACATTTTTTAAATACATGAATAAAATTACAAAAATAGTGTATGGATTTACCCATCAATGTAAAAATATTGGAACAAATTGTACTTTTGTGTAATGTTATATGTAAAAACTCATATTATACTTGATTTGATCTACAATTTCCAGGGTATTGTAATTTTAATCACAAGCATTTCATTAATAACCATGGTTTTACTTTTGTCTGAAGTAAATCCATCAAATGTATAGCAGACATACTTTTTGAGCATTAAATGTCTGTCAAATATACAATACTACTATTAAGTGACGTGTAAAAACTCATACTACACTTGATATGACGTAAAATTAACAGTAGAATCTTCTAAATTACTAGTTGTACTGTGTTTTTTATACAAGATCTTTTAGAAGCTGTATTATTCAACCATAATTATCTGTTTTATCTGCATTTATTGGTTATTTTCTAGTAGTTTTTTCTAGGCACTCCAGCTGTGTAAATTTTACAGTATTGTTGTTTTTTATTCCTTTTTTTCCTTTTTTTTCCCACCGTCTGTTAGAAAAACCTTTATTCTAATAAGCCAGAATGGTATTTAAAGATGCACGATAACAAACCTTATAAGTTGAAAATGTATTTCTAAACATCTACAGCTTTGACTGTACTCATTCTGTCTCTATCGTTCTTTCTTTCCTGACAAAATGAACATTTCAGATATCCACATTATTCTTCCAAGGACAAATATCACTTTGTCAATGCTTGTGAATTGTCTAAAATTCCAACATTTCAGGTATTTCTTATGTATTTTGGAGATCTAAAGATGCATTGTGACAAGTAAGAATGGCATTTTTGTATCTATGACTTGAATAATCACTAGAACATTGCAACTGCATAGATATCCACATCTGCGCTGCAGACATTTGCGGACAATGACTTGCGTGATTTGTGAGTTGAGTCTGAACTTTTCACTGGCCTGTATCGAAACTGTTCTTTTCTGTTCATCTGCAAGCAAACAATGCATCACAAAGCACTCAAAATTCTCTAACACTGTTTATTTACCTCCATCAACTGCACTTACTTTGTCCAAATTATGTCCACTTCTGATTTTATCTGTGCAATGTAGAATCAGAGTTGCCAGAAATTTGGGGTGTATTTGTGGCAAAATTTTCCTGGTAAGTGTTTGCATCTGTGTGTGATAGTTCAGTGATCTACAGCATGTTTGAGTATCCGTGACACTAAGCCAATAAGTGACGCACACTTCAGAGCTGGCAGCTCTTCGCCATCCTTTACAAGGAATGCGCGCTTATATGGTGGGAAAATTCCTTCTTTTCCCGTGTGTATTGTCCAAGCAGTGGTTTGGATTCTGTGGGCATCCAAAGTCCACAT